ATACAGATTAAAAAACATAACAATGCTATGAATTTCAGATCGGATACCGACAATCTTAGCTCAGTATATCATACATTAATTAAATGAAATAAACATGGAATATTAACTAACACCCGGTATATTGAAGAATTTTGCAAACCAAAAATAATATCCTTAGAATGCAAAGAAAAATAGCTGAAAGTAAAATAAATCAATATAAACAGTATTTCGCTTTGTGCCCAAAATTGACAAAATTAATACTCCAAATGTATGCCAAGGCTTAAAGCAGACATGTAAGTAAAAATATTTAAGTATCTGAACAAAGAATTCTAGTCTCTTCCCAAATTTGATTGTCCTGACTAATCACCTGTTAGGCCTAATTAATTTTAGAAAGTTTTAAAGTGTTGCAATTGTGATGTATTTTAGTGTGCGATATGATGAGGCTGTTGACAAACTGTGGTTGTTTTTTAAATTAATGAAATTTTTTTTTAACTGTGTTATTTTAGAAAATCTGATGATGGTGGAAAAATACACCGAAACGTATTTTAATTGATAAATAAAGACAATAAATGACTGAAGCCCAAGAATTAATTTTGAATATAAGTTTTCCAATGAGGTTTGCTAGAGAAGATTGTCTTTTATCGAAACTTTACAACATAAACTTAAAATTAGTGCCGTTGTGAACTACATTTTCAATCCTCGCGTAAGCTAATCTGTGCCATTCATTAGTCTAATTAAATTTATTTTAATAAGGACATCGGAATCATTAAACTAGTAAAAGTTATGCTACTCTACCCCCTAAGAATGAACCCAAAAAAACCTTATTCAGCGCGTAAGAACCATGTAACGATTACTCACCTGTAGACTAGGATGACAAGCAAGGTCCAGGAGCATCTTGACCACGCCAATATGTCCTTTATTAACACCGATATGTAAGGCCGTTTGCCTGCGTTTATTCCGCGCGTTTAAATCGGCACCCGCGTGCGCAAGTAGCTGAACCACCGCTGGCTCGTCGCCGAAAGCTGCGTGATGCACCGCACGGTCTCCGTCTTTGTCTTCAATTTCCACATCGGCATGGAAGCGAAGAAGAACGGTAATTACTTCGAGATGGCCATTTTGAGACGCTGCTTGAAGAGCCGTATGGCCTGGAAACGACATGGAAAACGTTCGTTAGAGTTGACTTTAAACTGCATAGATTTTCAGTTGCTTCACCTGCAAATACGCCATTCACGTCCGGCCCAATGCCCGCTCCAGCAGTATTGCTTTGCTTAAGAACTTCCTCGCATTTTTGACCATCACCATTGGCGGCTGATTTCACTAGTTCTTCATTTACATCACCGGACACATGAGTTTCGAAAAGTTTCTTCAAAAGGGCACTTAGTCTTTCGCCAGATGTTGTACCTTTAAGTAATGACAAAACCTTGAATAATATTGAACAAAGCATTTCAAAGAAATAGTGTATAAAGTATAGACATCGTTAAACTGGACATGCATCCGGTTCTTCTGTATCTTCAAATCTGATGCTCTATTTTGCTTAAAAGTCTCAACATTCACAAGTACTGTCGCTAAAACCCTTACCATGCGTAGTACCGTCCTTGCTAGCCAATTTAGTTACAGCTAAAGGATTATAAGTCCAAGTGGTGTTGCAGACCTCAACTTTCAAATCGTTGTCATTGTAAATTTGCTGTACGTGTCCCACTTTACCAAGAGTCTAAAAAAAAAAACTTATATTATCAAGTGTTCAAATCGAAAATTTAACAATTAATGTTTTTGTTATTATTAGACAATTAAATGTGCAACTTGGACTATCTCAGTACAAGAAAATGATGTAAAAACAGCTTTCAACTCACAGGCAGGTTTTTATATTAGGAAAAAAACAAAATGTTGCATAGTGAATGAATGAATCTCACCGCCGCCATTCCATCAGCCCAGTCACCATGTCCCCGTTGCAACATCTTGACTCGTTCCGCATCGACGCAAATTTGCACAACATCTCCGACAGCAAATTGTTGTTGCGGAGTTTCATTGAAGCCTGCTGAGTTCGGAGGAGTAGCGACTTTGGTAAGAACAGCCGGGTTAAACGTCCAACGATTGCCGCTGTTATATGCAACCACTATGTCGTGATCTTCGTCAATACCCACAACTGTTCCGATGCTAAAAAAACATTAAAAAATTAATAACAAGAAAAATACGCAATAAGTAAAGTAAAGGTTGAATCGTGAAATCGAACTAATTTGTTCAAACCCCGCAACTAAACAGCAATTCGTCGGATCCAACAAATTCGTACTGCAGCGTTAGCGAGCATGTCGATGCTAAAAACTTACTTGTTGAGGCACTCGTACATTCCGTCAGTCCAACCGCCATGTCCATGTTGCAGTGACTGGACGATTTCCAACTCCAAATCTACATTGACTTGATCCCCGATTTTTAGTCCAGCAGGCCTGGGACTTGCTCCTTGCTCCCCCAAGCAGGGAAGATGATCGCGATAGACGTTCTGCCCTTTGGCATCGTTGACGACTTTCAAGTCCGCCATACCTTCGAATCCGACCCTGTAGAGATTCTTGGATCCATTGTCCCAAACCACATAGGCAGCAGACCTTGAAAAATTAAATTATACAGAAATAAGCGAGACCCAGCAACTGCTGGAATGGATCTACCTGGGACTGGCTGCGGACCAATCTTGAATCTCCTGCACTTTTCCTCTTCTGCCATTTCCCCCGTCTTGGTCCTCCCATTGCCAGTCGACGCCACGAACTACGCGGGCACTGGGGAAAATTCCCCTGATAGCAATTTTCTTGGTTTTTCTTCTTGGTTCCAAGTAGAACCGTTCGCCTCCAGGGGTGGTAATGCGATAAAACCTAAAAGAAGGAAACCAAAAAGCAACTAAACCTCAGCAAATCTTAAAAATAGTTACCGATGTCTCAGATGATGTTTGTCCCCATGATAACAAACAGAGCACAAGTCGTAGTTTCCGCATTCCGCACACTTCCACCGGATCCCAAAAATTGGCTGCTGTCGACAAGTGTCGCACATCGTACCCTCATGCTTAATTCCCGTTGGAGCGCTATCCAATATACGTAAATCGTATTGGCCAGAGCATCGATAGTTTGCAGCTGTTCCATTATCCCACACCACTACGACTTCGTCAGGCGACTCAAAGTTTCTCACAGTGCCTACATGGCCTTCTCCACCATCCTGCAAAAAAAGTTAAATCAGTAGTTGCAAAACCATGTTTTACTCAAAGACTTTTTGTTAATGTATGTTAAGGAAACTACATTATAATTGATGTTCTCGGCATTTGTACGATCGAATTTCCAGCTTAAACAAACCAGAATAGTGCTGATAAGAATCAAGCAGTTTTGCCAATAATACAGCTTAGATGTTATCACCGTTTAAAATTAAGTGCCTGGTACTTGCACAGCTTATGAAGACAATAATTGTATTTTTATTACTGCCTGCTCGCTCCCTGGTATCCCAATAAGTTAAAAAATTGCATCAGATTATGCGCTATTAGTCAACCACTTTCAAACTTCTTTAATCAATTAGTAAAAGAATGAGAGGCATTTAAGCGGTAAAAACGTTGATGGAAGTTCATTTCATGACCTGAGCCAGGGAAATAGTGCTAAGTGTTTATATCTCAAATACAACCGTCTCAGAATATTGTGAGAATGAAATATTGATCAGGACAGTCTGTGAATCACATCAGCTAGTTCAATAGTGGAGTGATTAGTGCGTATGGCCCCAAAAATGGGGCTTTTCCAAATAAAAATATAACCTCCACAGACCTGTTTGCCCCATTTCCAGTCTGGGCCTCGTATGACCCGAGCTCCGACACCTTCCATTATTCTGGTGTTCCGCGGAACCGATGAGCTGGTTCCAACGGCGTTGGCAATCTCCACTTTTTCCATTTTCTATTGAAACACAAAAGTTATTTTTTATTCCAAAACATTTATCCCATAAAAGATATGTTTGTTATTCTGTCACTCAGCTGAGAATTGTCAAAATCGCTGTAACGGCGCCCAATGTTTGTCTTTGTTTAGCACACGGGAAAAAGTTGTTGGATGTAATATCGGATCGCAGACGCAAGACGGTTCGAGTTGGCAATGCGGCTTTGAGTACATGGATTTTAAAAATATTATTTAAAGTGGGCGAAAACATTTACAAATTGGCCACAAATTTAAGAAAAATTTTCTAATTAAGCTTATTTGTCGATGGACTTTGGAAATGAAAATTCGTCGGTTGTTAAACATTGCCATCTTCAAAATTATTTAAATCTTCAATCTATGGAAGTTTTTTAAATATTCCCAATCAAAATTTAAGCCAGTCTTGATACCAAAAAGGTAATTCACATTCTCTATTTGTTGATAAAAACAAATCCTCAATTAAACTTCTTAAAAAGATTTATTAAAAATAATTGTAACAAAATAAAAATATATTCTACAAGATACATAGCGAACAATATATGTAATAATTCAGATAAGGTACATGTTATATATGAAACATTCATAATCACGGGTTGTATAAATTCGGATTGAACAATAGTAGTACGGCTTATTCCATAACACCTAAACTTCGCAATTCTTCAAGATATATAAATGTATGAAAAAAACAACAATAATTCGGAATATATTGATTAACGTGGCAAAGACACTGAACGTTGAGGATCAAGAAAGTTGTAACAAAACAAACTAATTTTGACTAGTTCACATAATAAAAATCCTTTGCTTTGTTCAGTGTCCTCGCAATCTTAACTTCTTACATAGGACGCATATAGAATCACATTTGTTTACATATTAATTTCACAACAATTATTTAATGCCAATATACAGATAATACTTTTAGTTATAGTAAAAAAGTGCTTGCAAATTTGCATCAACTGTAACATATTCACTATTAAGTAAATTAAGATACTACAATGTAATAACTGATATTGTTGCTCACTAACAAGCCATATGTAAAAGATTTTTGCCGATTATAAGATAAAAGTCGCCATACTCTCTTGTTGCACACTATAAAACCTTTGCTGTCGGTAGGAAATTGAATGAGTTTTCAATTTATTAAAATAAAAATTTAATTAAATGAACGAATATTATTGAAGCCCTTCGATTTTATATTTATTCTCAAACGAACGCCTCAAACCACAAAAAATAAATTAAATTGGGAGCATTTCCTTGCTAATGATCCACAACACGTTTTGGAAATCGATGCAAATTCACAAGAGCTTGAGCCTAAGTATTCAGAACCGCTTAATACAAAACAGTCGAATAGGAAATACAAAATAACCCGACATTTTTATTTCGGGTTGATTACTTTGATTTTTCAAATTAAATTAGTGTTTGTTCTTCACCCAAAGTACTCGATCTAATAACGATTAATTGAAAACATTCTAGTTTAGTGAACTTTGGAAACATGCGCATTCAGATAGCCCTGACTTTTAAACGACTTATTACATCTCTCACAGTTGAAATTTCTAAACAAAAATTGATTTTTCAACATGGGATTGATATAGGGATGATTTCTCGTTCTGCATCGAACATTACTAGGCGAAAACACTTTTTTGGATACAATGGGGTAACTCGACACTAACCTAGCGAATGGGATATTTGTCTATAGGAAAGCTAACATTTGATTCGGAATTCTCACCTGTCCAGAAGCAAAACTGCCGATGAAGGGCTTCTGCATATGCTACTCTGGAAGTTTGCTAAACTTGTACCATGAAGGTCCTTTTTATCGAGAACTTGAGATTCATTTAAAGCTGAACCAGATTTTTTTATTACCAAGGATTGGCCACATTTTGCTGACTCCGGATCTTCAACTTTCACTATCACATCCTCTTCTTCGAAGGAGGTTTCTAGGCAGTTTAAGAGACACTGGCGGTGTGAATCTGAAAGAACACAAAAATCCCAATTAGATATTTCATGTCTTAAACTCTTGAAAATAAACCAAGTTCCCGAATTTATTCTGTTTCGAATAGAAAAGGTTGTTACCTTCATAATCATAGTCAGATTTTTCGCATTTAATTTCAATATCAGGCTCCACCACAACGTTCTCAAATTCTAATTCCTGTTCGGATTCACTTTGCGTCCCATAGTCGTCATCTAATGAAAAACTAAGTCGATGCTCATTAAAGCGTTGATTTTCAATAACGCACAGGATGTGGTTTTTAAACTCTGAGAAATCCCTTCTAAAGTAGTTTTCTGAAAAATCAACCAAATTGTCCAGAGGGCTTTTGTTTCTCCTTTGTTGGACTCTGTTTTCCTGCTTGCCTATTTCACAGCTAAACTTATAGTTTATTGTAAAATCCAGGATGTCCCTCAAAGCACTTCGATGATAATGGCCCATTTTGGATGTTGACTTGCGTCCGTCCTTTTTAGGTGTCTTTAGTAACTGCTGGAGTAAATAACTCCTCTGTCCCTTGGTAATCCGCTGCTTTCTCTTCAAATTAGAATTTCTTCTGCTTATTTTATTAGAAACGTCCGACACTTTCCTGAACAAATCCACTATATTTCTGTTAACATCAGTGTGTTCATCGTCGACTAGTTCACCTTCAGGCAGCTTTTCGAGCGCAACATGCAAATTACAATTATCAAATTGTGAGTTTTTGCTATCTTGAAGTTTTTCTACGTATCCATAAAGAATGTTGGTACTTTTCTTGCACATGTCGAGGAAATGATAAGAAACCCGTAGTTTGTTCAGGCATTTTTCACATATCTCACTTGAAATTGAATCGTCTGAAATGGCCTATTGGAGAAAAACCACAAAAATAACGGTGTCATTAAATCGTTAAGTTCAAGGTTCGGAGGCATAAAGTAAATATTCTAATGCAACTTAATCAGAATAGTCTGTATGGGAGGCAATAGCTTGTTAGTACTATTTTCCAATTCTTTTCTGCTGGTAGGTAAACTATTCAATGTGCTTACTAGAACTAAAGAGCGCAAATGTTAACACTTTTGCACATATTTTTCCCGTTGAAACATGAGTTGAAACAGTCCGCTTAAACATTAGGTCTGAAGGCTTTTCATCTACTATTAAGTAATGTCTAGTGAAAATTATTAGTTGTGATGTTCGGCTTAATAAAAAGTGACAATAAGCTTCGACAAAGAAGTCGGTGCAGAACTTACTAAGATAAATTTTAAAAAGCATGAGACTATAAATGAAGCACCATTTCAGGTCACTTTGGTGCAACCGCACTTCCCATTAAAATTATAAGTGTCCACAACGCAATGCAGCGTCCAGCTAGAATTCATCATAACTAATTGTAAAATGCTTTGTAATATTTAGATGAACTGCTGGACTTTGTGAAATCCTTCCAAATAATTTAAACTACCTGCGTCCAGAAAATCAATAGGTCAGCCTGCTTAAAACCTTTGAGTGTAAGGGCATATTTACCAAATTGGCGCAAATTTCCAATTTCTCACTTAACCTCACCATGTCGAAATCGACTGTCTCGACGTCCACCAGCGGAGCACCAGGTCGAACACATATTCTGCATATTTTTTCTAAAAAATACATTAGCAAAAAAAATGGAAAAAGCTGTCAATCAAATGTAACCTATCTGTCAAAGTGTCACCTGTCGCCAATAGTAAACAATAACATCAGCATGGCCTTGAGAATTATATAAACATAAATAATTTTTTTGGATATTCTGTATCCTCAATGTGCGGGCTAATTGGAGGTTAATATTGAGGCAAAAAAGTAGAATATGGACCTTAAAGTTTCAAATTATTTTGAGGCTGATTTCAGGTTTTTTTTAAATATTGACAAACGCATTCGGAAACTGGTCATACTTGTGTGACGTTGTTGAAGCCACACAACATTGCTAGTTAGAGCTTTTTTGCAATTTTGCAAGTCTGCCTTAGCCATTTAGTTTTTTCTGCTTCTGTAAAGCATATTTTGTCGGGCTAGTACAGAAAAAATCCAATTATAGAGAAAGCAAATTAATGTAAGTACAGAATCGATTTTTAAAACTATGACCCGCCATCCCTGTTCATCACGCCACAATTTTCGCCAATCGCATCGCTTCTGCCCACATTTTGTGAACGGCACATAATGCAATTGGGGACCAAGCTCCGTTCACTACTTGTTATTGAGCGTTTCTCTTTTCAAACTGCGATGCAGACTAGGACAGATACAGCCCAAACAGTTCGCGCCTGATCGTCTAGGTAAGTACACGTATGTCACATTGTGAAGTTTGAGTTGTTCGAAATGCGTGTTAGATTACGGAAAATTTAATATAAACGTTTATAATTTACGAGTGATTTGTTTACATATAAAACTTTAAAGACTATTAGTGCCGGACGTGCCAAAGGCCCCAGGAATTTCATCTTTGGTAAGAGACATCAACGATCTTAAATAGGCGACTTTAGAGCTGGGAGATCCACAAAACCTCATTTTTATTTGTTTTATTAATAAATTATTTCAACTTTATATGTATGATTAAATACACGTTCAGTTTCATCGTTACATTGACGACTAGCTTGCAAAGCAAACTGCGCGTGACTTGCTTAGTTTTGGGCATTAAACCCCCCACAGTTATTCAGCCCTTCTCAACTGGAAACTCGCTCTAATATCAACTGATTTCGGTCGTTTAACTGCGTTATACAACTCAATAAATATAGTATACATCTGCAAACAATACACGTAAAAATTTGATAAATATCCTGTTCTTTTCGTGTACTATTTATAATCCGAAAGACTCCCCTCCAACTTACACAATAGAACAGTTCAGTTCAATTAAAATATGAAAACCATCCTAAATATAAGAACCAAGAGCGTTGATACAGGGCTATAGGAAATGCATCAGGCTAGCACTCCAAGGGGTCTTTCTATTATTTAAATCAATTACTCAGTATGTTGCCTACATTATTAGTTTCCTATAAAACTGTCCAAAAGAATTGGCTCTTGTAATTTGGGATTTTTTCATGTTTTAGTTGTGAGGAATCCGGTGGTTCTTTAAATCGGCATCATGGATAACAACAGATATAACCAGGCACAAAATTACCGCCGGAATTTCCCGAGAAACCCTTATGATCGAGAACCGCCTCAAAGAGGCAGTGGCCACTATAGACATAGCAATAGAGGTCGTGATACTTCCAATCGCAACTACCCTAACAGATTTCCTAATAAGGATCGTTGGCAGCCTCCTCAAAGAACTTTCGATGATCATGGTAGAGAAGTGTTTCATAATCGAGTTCGGAAAGAGCAGCAAAGCAGGCCAAACCCCAATGCAGTTGAACCTACTGTAGCTCCACCTCAATTGACTGCTATCGAGGAAAAAGCTAAAAAGTTCCTGCAAACAGCATTCAGCCAGAACGGTGTTCGATCCAAGCTAATATTTTTGGAAAACATCAACGATCCTTTGCAAACAATTCATGGAACTGTTAGTAATTGCCAGCTGCAGCTGACTGTAGTGCAGAACTGCCCCGGAGAATTCACGTTGTCAATAGACAAAGAAGAAATCGCAAAAGGAAACTTTCCTACTCTCGCAATTGCTAAGAAAGCCCTGGCTGAACAGGCGCTGGACATTTTAAAAAAGGACTGTTTTTACATCACTAAGAAAAAGGAGTATGAAGAAGTCTCAACTAATGACAAGAAAGCCGAGCAGCAAAGTCACCCAGAATCGAAACTTGAGGGCAGCAAAGCCTACCAGATGATGCTGAAAATGGGGTGGAGTGGCAAAGGGTTGGGCCTCAATGAACAGGGCGCTGAAAAAACAGTGGCAGAAACGCTGGATCAGAACATCAGCAGGCAGGGCTTGGGATTGGACGATGTGTTCAAGAAAATCCACAAAGTCCTGGAAGATTATGCAAAATCCCCCAAAATGAGCCTTCTAAGATTTGATGCGGATTTCACGTCAGAAGAACGAGCTCACATTCACAAAATAGCACAAAAATTTGGCTTGAAATCGAAAAGCGAAGGTAAAGGCGAGCAAAGGAGACTCACAGTCACAAAGAAGTTGCACAGAGGCGACTTGGTTTATAATCTGTTGACTTGTGGGCTTGAGAACGATTTGTATAAACTGAGCATTCCTCCTCATTTTCAACACTTGTGGCAGGATGCGGATGAAGATGAAGACGAAGATGATACATATCAGCCACAGTTTTCCAGTTAAAATTAACAGATCAAATTCCACATTTATTTGTGTGCGTGTCTGTTTGCAGTATTAAATAACTCGTTTTTGGCGGTCGAAATCAAAGCAGTCTCCSAAACWARWCAAATTGATAGGAAAGTGCTAAACTAAGTAKMAAACTAAGTAACTGCTTTAAGTGAATTTGCATGGGGGCCCATCAATTGGCATAATTTCAGCCACTGRTGCATGAGATGTTAGTRTGCACATGTTTAGGCTTGGACTCGATAATYACCTTAGAAATTACAGTTTTTAATTAATTAGTTGATAARTTGCTTTCGATTGTTGTTTAARCATTTCAGTGTTWATTTTTTTCACAGGCATKGCAGTTKAATTAGGGGAAGAACAGTTTTKCGTTAATTAAAGAAACGAAGAAACGTAATTTTTTTGRGYTTCAAGCTTTACGCGTGTATTTTWAAAARAAAWTTTGTAAAATGTCCATKTAAGTACTAATCTGTTGTATCMAGATAATTTTTTTCCATTATATCTTTGACCTGCATTTTTGGACTTTGGTTTAKTGACAGTRTTTGTAAGATCCTTAATMKTCGTCATTTTTGAATCATTTGAAATGTCTAATCTAGAACTCCAAATGAAGCTGTTARATTTTGAAAATAATTTAAAAAACGTGCGTTTCTTTGAGTCATTCGGGAATAATGATCTCTGACCYCGTAGAAATAACACGACACCACGAGCCCGCTTAAAGTCTAAATCTAAATGTAAACTTTGACCCACTTGTTACATTGGATATTTGATAATTTATCGTAGATAAATACACTAATGTAAATCGTCACTAGAACAGGTTGGTGTTTCCAGATTTACCTTGTTTTTTTTGGTACGTTGTTTAATATCATCAAAGAAACTCCTGAAAGTAAGTAATAACACGTGTAAATTTGCTTTTGCAAGAATATAACGATGCGAACGAGGTTCAATTTGAACAAAATTGCAATTTTTATGTTTAAGTTCATTTCCTTGAAGCGCTGGTACGTAACTATAGAATATGTAATCAAGTTTTTCGTGAACTTGATATACACGTGAAATGTTGACTGTAACATCGTGGAACAATTTCGAGTTGTAGATAAATGGTTGCATTAAAAGATAATTTCGCAATTGAAAAAATACAAGGGTCCAAGGATGAGATAACAGTTAAAGTCAAATATTTTTGATCGGGAGTCGGGTAATGTAGAAGTTGGTCATCAGCCAGGAAAGTTGATTAGTACGGTACTCTGGATATTTTTTGTTTGTTCTGTGAAGGTGAAGTATTCACATTAGTAATTGAGAGTTGCGCTCCCGCGCTCATTAAATACGTTTTCACTTGGATTTAGCAGATTTATTCAAGTAAGTTTTTCCCAATTTTTGTTTGCAATGGCAAAAATATATTACATAATGGAAATAGGAAAATAATTTTCGTTAAAAACAACGGACTAAAGTTATCAAGATTGTAATATAAAACTATTTAATTGGAAAACAGTTACAGGATTTATTTTAGAATCTTGGTGATATCGGCCAAGTCAAAATATCAACATTGAGCGAAAAATAGTTGAATAAATATTATTGCAAATGGATAATAGTTAGGGAGAACTAAATATGCTATCGTTAATATCAGTAATAAACACATTAACCAATGACCTTACTGTTGACATCTGATTCTATTTAATGGCTTGATTTAAATGTTGTAGACCTGAGACTCCCACTGATTTTCTCCTGATCTGGATGGGTTAAAATGTTGCTTTGTTTTCTGTTTTTTTTTATTTTTTAGAGCAAACGATATTTTAAAACCAGTAAGTGGAGTTTCGATCCTTTTTCACCGCCGGGCAATGTTTGAAAAAAAATCCGAACTTCTGTTCGATTTGCAAGGTTTTTAGACTGATCTGAAATTAGCGTTTGTTTTCTCCAGATAAAATGAACAGATGGTTTCTTTTGCATCACTTGTTTTATAGAATTATAGAAGTATGGTCCAAAAGTAGAAAAGGTTTCGATTTTATGTCATCATGAGGTAATTTTTAAACATTTTAAAACGTCCGCGAGCTGAGTGATGAATGAATTTAAGATATTTTAAGAAAATTTAGATTTTTTCGAAAATTCGACCCCCACCCTTGGAAAATTTTCGGCCAAATTCAAAATTTTACATCGTGTTTTTTGAGCTCAATCGATTCCTTTCGACGTAAAAAGGTCGCAAATGTGCATTTGTAAAGTGTTTGGGTCAATAATAGTGCTCGAAAAGCGCTTAAAATGTGCCGAAACTGTCGATTATTTCGGATCTGAAACTTCTACCATCCTTTTTAGTGAGTTAGAGGCATTCCTCGTGTCCGTGAGCTGAAAATTAAAGACATTTTGAGAAAATTTTAATTTTTTCAAAAAATCGACGCCCCCACCCTTAGAAAAATTTCGGTCAAAAATCAAAATTTCACATGCGTGTTTGTTGAGCCCAATCGGTTCCTTTCCACATAAGAAAGCACAAAACTGCATTTATTATATCATATTTTTGATGTAAATTAGACCCGCATAGTTCTATTATGGAAAGTACGACTAAACTCGGAAAAAACGTTATCTCTCCACATTCATCATGTTTTAAGAACTTTGGTCTTTGGTTGTCAGCAGGAACATAAAATTTGATGGAGAATGGTTCTATTTTGTTTTAGTGGTGAATTGAATTTTGCTCGAATCGGTTCAAGATAATCATTATGCTAATTATTGTTAGGTAAGTCATAATACATTAATTTTTATGTTGTGTACTTGTTCTTATACATTTCACTGAAATGCACTTGCGACAAGGGACAAGTACAGATCAAATAAACTGATTTTCTGCTTCTTTAGTTTTTACCACGTTTATATGCTAAGAATTTGATTATTTCTGGTTTTTTATTTTAATATCGACATTATTATCCGATAAGAGCATTTTATATATTCATTACGTAACACACTGTTATCGTCACTTTGAACTTATTTTTTTGGAGCTGATATACCTATACAAAGGTCAGTAATTAGATCATATTGTTTCGGTCGGTATGTAAGAAAATACTACCACTAGCCACCTATTGTCGATATCAGCAACAAATTCAATAAGTTTTTCTTGAATTTTTTGATTAGATTAGTAAGACGATATTGGTTACGACTTACATAGATGGCAGCATTGAATGTAAGATTCGGATATTTTGTGCAAGTTCTAGTTTTTATAAGGCATTTTTAGCGAAAATTATATGTATAAAAAATATACAAAATCACAGAGAATGTTCTGTGTGAACTTTTATAGGGGGTGACGTTGCAGAATGATACGGTTCTCAAACACATACGATTTATTATAATAAAATACCTACGTGTTGATAATAGCTAAATCAAAAAAAAATCGAAAAGATTGCAAATGCGAAGAAACTAAAAAAAATCAACATCTTTCAAAATTAACCCCAAAAAATGTATGTAAACATTTATTTCAAATGTTAGCTAAATATCGGTTAACATGCAGATGTTTTAAGGTTTTGAACTTTTTGATTTTTCTTCAGATTAATCAGTCAGTTAATCATCGAAGGTGCTTCGGCTTCGGTACACTTTTTCCTCTTTATTACTTGTTTGCAAAAACTGTTTTTGTTAATGTAAAATGCTCTATCCACTACCATAATGAATAGTTTTGCACTTAAAATATGAATGTTTTTCTTTTTTTACACTGTGAACGCCTTACATAAGAAGAGAACAGTATTTTTCCAATAGAATCAAAAAGCTAGTTGACGTTTTCAGAATTTTTAGTTTTTAAATCACTCTGTATCATTAATTATATATTTAGTAAACCATTATCCAATCGACAACTGTTGGCATGAGTAATGAATTTTTCGAGTTCACTCATGAACTCCGTTAATCTCTCAACCGATAACCAAGAACTTTGTCTTAATCTATCTAGACGATGATGATTTATTAAATGCCATGCAAAGAGTAAAAGATAAACATTTTCGTTCTATGAACTCTTACATTTTTATATTCAAATATTTAGTGACTAGTGTTTTAAAACAAACTCACTTGTAAATCTAACACATGTTTCAAATCAAAATGCTTTTGAATTTTTCACAGAAGTTTCTATGGACTTTTGACTTTGCAGTAACCTTTCTTGTTTGTTCCAAATATTCTACCACGATTTGGATGATTTTATTTTTAGCAAGCGGCTGAAGCACGATTGCAACCAGTGTCACTTTATAAATGTTTTTATTTCATAATGACCATTATTATAAATTGCTTATCATTTATATACATATTATTCACATTTAGGTTTAGTCTAAAAATAAATCCGGTTGATTCTGATATGGCATTACGTGATTTAACTCGGATATTGTTTAATTTTAATTGGTTTTGGGTGAAGAGATTAAAGACACAGACTGAACCGTTAATGATTGATTCGCACTAGTGCATTAACTTAGCATTGAGATGTGTTTACCGAAAGAAATTGATTTTGGAAAACACGGTTAAAAGGGCTTAAAAACTCGTGTCGCTTCTAAACAGGTTTTGGAAGAAATTTAATTATTTTTCTTCTAGAGCGAGACTTATTTATCTCCTAAGTTTACAAAAGGGTGAATTACTTGGGCGAATTTACGTCAAAACTGTGCAAGATTTGATGTACTTGCACCCCACTGAATATTTAAACATTCGCATTCTGCTACGTTCATTATTTTTTGATTTGTATATTTTGTCAGCTTTTCTACTTGTCAGCAAAGGGTCTGGCTAATTTCTTTTCTTTGTAAAGATGTCCTAGATTCTCCTAAAGGCTTTCGCTAAAAGAAATTTGCCTTCAAGATTACAATTAGTCGTTGAATCGTCAAAACAGACTATTTTTTTACTGTTTTTAAATTACAATTATTCAATGAAACAAATAAAATTGGAGTTGAACATACGAGTTTATTTTCACTTCCTACACATATCCTTAAAACATTTCCAAAAAAAATTGTAAAATGTGTGTTCTAAGATAAACATGCAACATTGAACTAAAATCCCTTGAGCAGGTTGAAAAATCGAGACTTAAATTCGCGCGAGACAATAGATCTTGACTAATCTTTAAAATACAACATAATTCGCATTTTTGATTAATCGGCAAAGGGATTGTATTTATCATAGTTGCAGTTTTGCTCATCCAGCAATGAATATTTGATCAAATAGGTTTGATACCCAATTACTCAGAAAGTGTGAAATTAGCCGAAGAAAATTGGCATTGAAGACACACGAAGCGGAAATTTTAATGGTTGAATGAGCAACATGTCTTGAAAGTGCTATTATTAAATTCGTTTTAACTTTTTCTAACGATCAGGACGAGGTACGCAGATATAATAATCACTTAACTTAACAAGCCCAGTGAATCTGCATTTAAAGTAAACATTATTACACAATTTTGTATCTATTAAGCAACTGGCTGTGGTCTATTGCGGGTTTGGGTTTTTTAGCAGCAAAAATATTGCCCAAAGTGTTTGTCAGTTGAATACAGTTTTGTTTGAAAAGGTTTCAATTTTCTAAATAAATCGAATTGAGCTCAGGAGATAAAGTACATAGACTGCTTAACAGCACGTCGGTCGATGGCTGCAATCAAATAGATATGCAGAAGTTAAAGGTCTCAGGCATTACAAGTTTTTACTGTAATTCGATTGGAGAGCAACAAGCAAGCTTCTAATTTAATAATAATTCTCGATTTCTGAAATTCGATACCAGATTAGCACACTAAAAGTTCGCTTGATCGGCAATCTATTAAAACTTTTCGTTCGAACATCTACAATCAAACAGTTTCCCCTGTTGAAAACCACCAATTTATGCTGTATGTTCGGCATATCATAACCAGTTGCTTCCTTCCCATAGTCATTAGAGCGTCCTTCGAAACTCGCAAAAATTCATATGCATTAAAAAACAATAGTAAAAGGCATGCGAGAGAACTACAAACGAGAATTGTTATAATTCACTTTTATTCTATAAGATTCGATTAAGAGCCTTAAGCTTTTTTGCTTAAATTGAGTTTAGGCCAGTTGATTGGCAAAATAATTGGGCTTTCGTGTGGCCATTGCTTTGAAAGCGGTGAATTTTTGAGCTTTCAGACTGTCGGGGAAATAATTTTTGTTTGTTGAGTCGCTTGCATCCGCAACATTGGCAAACACCTCTGAGGCTGCAAGGCACTCGTGCGTCCGAAACGTTAGGAAGCCATTCGATTCGACGGCCTACTTAATAGATGGTTTTCTAGTGCGTTATAAAAATACTTATAATATCACTAACTGGTTGAGATCTTTCCACTAAGGGTTTTTTTAATCTAAGTTGTTTTTGCCCGATTTCTGCAAAAGCGGTTTAACTTGCAAATTGGAATTCTCGTGCCAAAACTATTTTGTTTAATTTGTCTGTTTTATAAAGTTTCTCTAATAACATTGTTTTTTTTATGTTTTGCTTGCTTCATTACGTATTGCAAAGTTAGATATGATGGTTTTGAAATTTTAAAGAACTTGCTTGAAGACTGAAATGATTTCTGTGAAGAGTGGGTGTTCGTATTTTATACATTGTAAAAGAAGACTTTCGAAAGTCAACATTATAAATAGTTCACTGTTTTATTAGTTGCTGATAATTTATGTCTTATTATGTGTAAATCATGGAGAAGATCATTCTTGAAAATTATATGCGAAAATAGCTTAATTGCGTTTGAGAATCAGTTGAAAACTGGGCGAAATTTTGCATGTATTTTAAAACACCTTTCTTTCCTCAAGGAGTTTGAAATAAATTAGTAATAATAATAATAATGTAAAATAATAGTAATTTGTAATCAGCCCAAGTGACTTGAAAGCCAACAAATCTAAAGCATATTGTTTTCGAGTAAATTTGTTAAAAATGAGTATAAATCAGTATAAATAATACTTCATTATACTATTATAATATATACATTATACTTATATATTCAGTATATACTTTCCTGACTGTGTTTCAATTCCAAATCAAAATTCATTCCTGGGTTTCAGTCATTTATTGTCTCTATTTATCAATTAAAATACGTTT